CTGTGCAGTGTTTAGTCGTTATAAGTTTGCAGACAGCAGGGGCGGGGGGGGGGGTCATCCTCATGGAAACTTCCTTGCCTCCAATCTCTCTGTGTCCTCCTAGCTCAGGCGACAGAATGAGTTTCCATAATGCTCTGCATATGATTCATCTGTCTGGCTCAAGATCAACTCACTCTACACATTGGGGAAGATGTAGAACGTTTAAGATTCATAAAATGAAAGAAGCAAAGGAAGTCCTTCCCAGTGTCCTCCTTCATTTGTGCTCGGATCCGTGACCACTAGATCAACAAGCGGCTCTCCTTTTTATTGTATTTCAGGTTATGCATGTTTTCAAAATGCTTTGTTTCAGTGGCCTTGAATGATTTTTCTCTCTAAGAGGTGACATTGGAAGGGTTTGGTGTATAGTTTGATTTGGTCTTTATAGCCGGGGGATGCTGTAGAGCTTATAGCATTTTATTTTTCTGTTTTACCATAATCTAAAGGCCTCGTCAGTGACAAGCTTTGGACCTCTCATGTAGGGATCACTGGACATGAACACACACAAGTCCAAAGCAAAGGCAATGGAATTCGGAAACTTGACTTAGGCTAAGAGCACAACAAGGCTTTACTTTCCGAAGAATAAGTACATGTGATAACAGTTTTAAAGCATAGTTTATAAATGCTACATTGTCAGAGCAAATGGCTAAGCCTCACATGGGGACAAAGACATCTGCTTTCTCTTTTGTCCTTTACTTTTGAAAAGGAAACTGCTTTTGCAGAGCGTATATTCAAGATCAAACATCAAATTATTATCTCTTTATTCATCTTTGACTGCTACAAACAGGAAGAGGATCCAGATTAAAACTGACTGAGTCATGGTGCAACATCGAGCCAACCCCAAGCAGCCTGAAGTCCTCAGTTCCCTTGTCTTAAGAGCATTTATTAAGCTTCTTCTGTGTACTCACTATGAAAGGATGAGTGTGGAGAAGAGCAGGTAGCCAACATCAAGTGTGCACACAGCCACGCCTGGGATGGGGAATGTAAAAGAAGGCGTGACTGACAGATACAGATGACTGTCCCTTACTCAGTCAGGAAGCAAAAGCATAGCCACAGATTCCCTGCCTTCCAGAGTAAGCTAAGAAAATGTGACTCACACTCAAACGACTCTAGATTTTGATTGTATGGTTTATCGGAGATGGGACATTATAGATGTGAATCGATCATGGGGTGTGAAACTCCCAGGGGTTCCCATGCCTTCTCACAGACCTGGGGTATCCCCAGTCTCACCTGATCCCCTTCAGCCTCTCCTGTTCCTGCCACCACACCTGCTTGTGTTGCTTGATCAGCATCTGTTCTTTAGCCGCCCTTGACGTCTCCATGGCTTTTCTGATCTACAGTTAGAGGAGAACCAAAAGCTTTGAAAGAATGTTTTCTCAGATCCAGGGAGGGTTGGGGGGAGGAGTAAGTGGTGAATATGCTCCAAACACATGCATGAGCTTCTCAAAGAATTACTGGAAATACTACATCTTTTGAAACGTATCTCTACAAAAGAAAGATTTCCTGGTTTTACAGTCATCACTGATACATCTTCTAACACATGATCCACCAAAAATAAATGCAGAATTAAATATCAGAGGGAGGAGAGCTGTGCATGGGGATACATGCCAATAATGCCGGCACTCGGGATGTAGAGGCAGGAGGATCATGAATTCAAAGCTAGCCTTAGCTAAACCAAAAGTTTGGGACATTCTCAAAAAAAAAAAAAAAGCAATTAAAAGAAAGACAAAATGACCTGGGATACTGGCCAATTTGAAAATCCTGTTTAAGATGTGCAAAAAAAAAAAAAAGTAAAGTTGCTGTGTTTTTTCATTTGTTTATTTTATTGCTTTTGTTATTTACTTTTTTGCTTGCTTTTTAAAACTATTTTTTATTGTTACTTTATGTGTATGGTGTTTTTGCCTTCATTTGTGTCTGTGCATCACATGTATGCAAAGAAGACAGAAGAGAGTGTCAGATGCCCTAGAACCAGAGTTCTAGATGGTTCTTAGCCATCATGTGAATCCTGGAGAGCAAACCTGGGTCCCCTGGAATAGCAGCGAGTGATGTCGGCTGAGCTGTCTCCCTAGCAGTACTGTTCTGTTTTCCATGCACTATGTAATCCCCCCACTTCATTCTCAAGGAAGATTTTTCAAGACTTTCCATACATTTGTCCCCTTTTGGACCCATGTTTCCTACAAGGTATTTAGGCACCATTATTTCTGTTTTATGCATGAGAATGCCAAAGGCCATGAAGATTGGGTTCAAAGATTGGTGACAATCACAAAGCTTGTAAACATCACAGTTGTAGACCCTTGGTGTTGGATTGGATTTAATGAACTCCCATCGTAGGATAGAAAAGGTTCATTAAGCCCATGGTTAGGGGACCTGGCTTCAGTTCCAGTTTCAGTACTCAAGAACAGGTCCTGAAACAAACAACTGCAGTCATTTTACTTCATAGCTTTATAAAAAAAACTTTTCAGAGTCAGGCAAATAGTTATTGCAAGGTACTTAACAAAGAAATACTGGAAAATTTTTGGAAGATGGAAACTCAACTTTTCAACTAAATGTAGGGTTCACCGAATACTGCGTGACCTTTTAACATGAAGCACATGAGTACTGTGGGGACTGTGCAGCCAACTTCTGTCAAACTTGGGACTGTTATCATCTCCCTGATCTGTGTGCAGGCAGAAAGCAGCCCCTTTTCTCAGATGCCCCATTCACCTGGCTTCTAACTGGTTCAGACAAAGGAAGATGCCAGCTGTGAAAGTTTGGAGGGAAGGAGACAAGGTACAACCAAAGCATCCACCCCTCTCTTTTCAGGAGGGTCTCAGGTTCTCCAATGTACCCACTTTTCTGTGGATGTGGCTCCGAATAGCTCTGAGGTTTTGTCCCACCGGGTGTGGTAGCACCCCACTCTTTTGTCCCATCTCTCTGACCTGAGGGTGGCAGTGACTTCAGCAGCTGTCCACCTCTATGCTGCCCCACAGACCTCTGATTCTTCATTCTATTATCTGCACAACTATCTTCCCAACACTGAAGACTGCTTGACTCCAAACCCGCAAGCAGTGTCTGATTCTTGGTTAGACTCCACCTATAGCCATGGGTACTCCTAACTTTGTATTTCATGCTAACACTTTTAAATATTCATGAACATACAAATCAGGGCTGGAGAGATGGCTCAGTGGTTAAGAGCACTGGCTGTTCTTACAGAGGACCCAGGTTTGATTCCCAGCACCCACATGGTGGCTCCCAACTCCAGCTCCAGGGGATTGAAAACCTCTTCTGGCCTCTGTAGGCACTGTACTCACATGCCACACAGATACACACAACTACAAAATAATACAAGTAAATCTTTTTTAAAAAGAAATTGGAAACCAGAAACTGGACAAAAAATGTGCATATTTCATAATTTCTCTGCTATAAAGTACTTTATAGCAGTGAAATATCAATAATGAACTTGAGAAGACAAGCTCCAAAAAGGAATCTCATAATGCATGCTATTTCAAGCTGCTGTTCACTGATTATTTTAACCTTGAGTTTATCTTTGTGCTCTTCTGGTTTCTGATTCAAAATTAGGGACATGAGCAAACAAATTAATCCAAAGGATGACTTCAAAAAGACAAAAAAAATCAAACCTTTTCTGCAGAAGTTCCTGAGGATGTTATAATTATGAAGTTTAAGAAAAATTAGGTAGAAGACATTGGTAAAAACATATAGCGTCTACCTATTAAAAGATGAAAGAGTGGGGCGTGTCCACAGTCTGGCATGTTAACCCTTGAGTTGAGAATGTCTGAAAACAATTTCAAACTTTTACCATCTACAGTCTCTAAAGTTTCGCAACAGACACAATTTTAAAATTAGATTCCTTTGACATATTCTGTCTATGTTGTACAAAAAAATTAAAACACATTGGTGGAAGATGCGAACATATTTTTTATAGCTTAAGGAAAAAAATAATCAATGTTGTTGCCTTTGGGCCCAGAGAAAGGCCAATTAAATAGAATATAAAAGTAAAAAAAGAAATCAAGCTACTATTTTTCATTAAACACTTCCAACACTTTGTGCAATGTCTTAATTGTTATGTTTTGTTTTGTTTTTGGAAATTCTTCCATCAAATCTACTAGTATCCTCAGGCCACAAATGGAAAAAAAAAACCCACACACCTTTGAAAAGAACTCAAAGATTTAAAGTTTGTATCTTCAGCAGAGATCTATGTGATTGCGATTCATTTTCCTGGGTGACAAGCCATATAAAATCATCTTTAAGGTGGATGATAATGTATGCATAATACTGATGGTTTAAAATACTTTGAGGAAAGAATGTCAAAAATAATGAATTCATTAAAAGATCAGAAACAAAAATCTACTTATGATTGTCTAAGATAAGAAGCCCGGACTAAGCCTTCCAAAATACGACAAAAGGCATGTACATCCATAAGAAGGGTACGGCTGGAGCTTTAATGCATGTGCTCACACATTTGTCAAAATTCACCAGGATGTGCTGTGAACACTATCAATAAAGAACTGTCAACATAACAAAGAAACGCTACCCTAAGATGCAGTTCTTCAGCTGGCAGGCTAGCAGTGACTTAGCGTTTTACAAGGCGCTGGTGAAACATGCCCACTCTCAAACTGTAATGGAAATGGAAAATGATACAGGCCCCACAGAAGGTAATACGGTTATATGTTAGATGTTTTCATTGATTAACTATGACCTAGCAACATCATTTATAGAAATATATCTGAAAACCATCCTGGCAAAGGTGTACAAAATTATTCACTGCTGCACCATTTACAATAGAAAAAAGACTGGAGAACAAAAATCCCATCAGTAAGTGTTCTTTCCAAAGCAAATTGAACCGGAAGCTAATCAATTCTCTAGATATAACTACCAATTTGCAGAGACTACAAAGAGAAAAACATGTTTCATGACACCATATCATGCAGTTGGCATAATTCAAACTGCGAGGAACTGTAAAGACCAATGACATGACTTCTTCAAGACACAAATTATAAACTACAAGAGGACAGAAGAAGAAACCTAACAGTGACTTGCAGTGTCTGGGTTGTGTTCAGGCGCCTCTTTGAATAAATTTTGAGAAAATTTTCTGATGCAATCAAGGAAATTTAATAATGCTAACTAGATAATGCAAATCGTTGAGAAGTTGAGATTTTTCATTCACAGCAGTGGAAAGAGATGGGACTTTGACATTCTAATGTTTTACAGTAACACACTAAATGTTTATGAGTGAGCGATATTATGACATCAGCACTGGTATAATTTTGCTTCAGGACAGTTACGTAAGTGTGTTGTCATTCTGGCAATAATAACTCTGGCATAAACAAAACTTGGCCAAAACTAATCCTTTCTGACGTTGGGTGATGTCACATAGTGACTCAGCATACCATTCAAAGCAATTGCATTTATGTGTGTAATTTTCCCTAAGGTTAAAAAGATATGTAAGAGCGGAGGGCCCTGCTGGGCATAGGTGGGAGAAGAGATCCTTGGCCTCATGAAGGCTGGACGCCCCAGGGGGTGGGAATTTGAGGGTGAGGAGGTGGGAGTCGGGGGGTAGGTAGGGGTACATCCGCAGAGAAGCAGGAGGAGGGGTGAGGGGATAGGGGGTTCCTGGGTGGGTGGGGGATGGGGTAAGGGGACAACATATAAAATGTAAATAAAACATCCAATAAAAAAAAAAGATTTAGTGAAAGGATGCGTGAATTGAGTGAGCAAGAAGCTATATCCATCCTAAATAAAGAAATTAAAATAATTTTGAAGATACTTTTTAAACATAATACATTGTGAATGGAGACACAGTGCACCAGAAACTGGCCTCAGTTTCCAGCCCAGATTCACTATACAACAGCTTCAGATTAGAGATCAGTCTTGGGAAGGCGTGACATTTACTTCAGAGGCTCACTTGCAGAAACTGATCGCACTCGGTGACACAGAGACGATATAGAACAGCATCGCTCCTACCCCACACTCCAGGCCACTAGCGATCTCCTGTCAAGTGGCTGAGCAGTCTACACCTAGCTTGAGGTGCCATTGTCCTTATGGGTCCACGTGTCAACATCCTACCACCCTGGATCTATTTAATATTGCCAGAGTAAAGCGCTGTGACCATTAACAAACAGTGGCAGTTAAGACTGTGAATCTCATCTGTAAAAGTTGCGTACATAAGAAGTGGAATGAACAGGGAAATAGACATGATTAATACAAATATTCTGATTGAATTGTTATCCATACGACATAAGATATAATTACTCTTTGAGCCTGTATATATTTTATTAAAATTTAAGTAATAATATAAGCGAGACTAACAGAGATGACATTGATAATTCTAACTCGTACAGACTGTTTGGCATATAAGCATCCATAATGTTAAAATATATTTTAAGAGCTTTATTTAATTCCCAGTTATTTAATTCTATTTAAGTCCTGGGTCTTTTAAGGAAACTCTGTTTAATAATTAAAATTAAGGCAAAATGTCAACGTGAAGTCTCTAAATTGAATGAGAAAAGTTCCAAAATCCATGTACAATAACACTCCTAACACACCTTCCTTTATCCAGATATATTAAGAATATAAATTACATGAAGAAAAATTAAAATCTTAGAAAATTACGTAGTAGTTCTCCAAACACATTCATTCTCACTAACCAAAATGCAAAACAACAGCTAAGACACTACTTCTTAAAAAAACAAAACAAAACACTTTCTTGTCTTATGAATTGTGGGGATTAAAACCTGGAATCAAAATCTTAGTAGAATGATCACTGCAGACTGAGACATCTTCAACAATTACAGAAATTGAAAAAGTGCAAAATTTAGGTGCCATTATTTCTAGAAAATATGTAACCAGAAAGCATCTTTGGGGATTATCTTCTCTTATAAACAAAAAGCCAGCAATGCAACGTATATGGCACCTGACACAGGGTGTGATTAAAGTCTTAAATGTGTATAGCCTTGGATAGGGAACCTACCATTAAAGAGAATTTGGCCTTGAGCAAATATTGAATTTAACACTCAATTAACTGTTCAACATTCAACCCAAATGTCTTTTGTGATACATCTCAGATGGAAGAGTGGGTGAGTATATGGATAGATGGATGGGTGAATGGATGATGAATAAAATTAGGAACAAATATTTACATATTCTAATTTTGACAAAGATGTAGAGGATATGTTTGTAGTACTTTTGCTTCAGAAAGAAACTTAATAGATCTCAATACACTAAAAATATTCATTAGTTTTGGGACAGAGGATTCTAACACTTGGGAATGCCTCTGTATGAAGGTTTTGTGGTAGCAGGAGTCCCAACATCACAGAATTAAAGACAATTCACATAATTTTACTATCCTCAATTTAGTCATGCTTGTCACTTGGTTTTGTTTTATTTTTGTTGTTGAGACAGAATTTTGCTATGTAATCTAGGCTAGCTTTAAACCACAATCTCCTGCCTCAGATTCCTGAGCACAGAGATTACTTAGTTCTAAAAATTCTGTCTATCTGCTGTCTGTCTATCTATCTACCTACCTATCTATCTATCTATCTATCTATCTATCTATCTATCTATCTATCTGTTTGTCTTTCTCTGTGTGTTTGTCTCTGTCTATATGTGTGTGTTGTCTGTCTCTGTATGTCTTCTCTCTCCCTCTTTCTCCTTCTCTCCCTTTCTCCCTCCTTCTCCCTCTCTCCCTCTTTTTCCCTCTCTCCCTCTCCCTCTCTCTCTGTCTCTCTCTCTCTCTGCCTCTCTCTCTCTCTCTCTCTCTCTCTCTCTCTCTCTCTCTCTCTCTC